TGACAAAGGGTTAGGTCATGCTCCAAATAAGCATGAGCAATCACCTACTTCGCCCTTTGGCTGCCGCCCACACTTGATCCCTCTTTAGATGACAGAAAGAGAGCCAGAAGAAGAATACACCATCTTTGGATATGGATCACTCATTTGGAAAGTAGGCACCGCGGAAAAATATGCATTTTCATTGTACACTAACCCTCACTCCGGTCACGTCTACAATCGCGCTATATCTAGCCACCACCACATGTCATCAAACGGAGTAATGAGAATTGTTCCATTTATCGATCCGAATGTCCTTAATTTTTCCGCGTAGCTCCCGGTTTCCTAAAGCACTATGTCCGACGCTTTGCCCAATCCTCGAGCGATCACCGAGGCACTCCGGAGGTATGAACCAAAAGGTACCCTTACACACCTCTCATCCGTTCATAGTTCCCGGGACGAGTCGTCACCTTGATTCACGCCGATGAATGGGCACATTTCAATTCTCAGGTAGGGGGATCATTGGGGAACCCTTTCCACTAGCGTGACAGTTTCTCCTTAGGACGCCTTTCCACACGAGGATACAGTCTGGGGTAAGCGTTCGGTATTTCCTCTGTATACCGACTAAGCCCCGCAGGGGTCGCGTACACAATCGACCCTATATACGCAAAGGAGGTCAAGGAATATTTGGGTGAGTTGGAATCAGAATTATGGGGCCTAAATGAATACCTACATGACTGCCGTATAGATTATCGCGAAAAGGTTCGTCACGTCTACATGACATGGGACATTGAACCAACGATGATTATCCGTCTAGGATGGCTATACCATCCACAGAGTGGACGTGTACGGGATCAATGATGGCACGGAGTTTGTAGCTGTATCGCAGGCGACTGTATGTGCCGCATAGCAAATCCAAACTGGGTGATGACAACATTTTCAGGTATATGTCGGCAAGGCCGATAACCCGTCTTTTGGTTCGTAAGGTCAATATCAAGGAATCCCTGCTCAAAGGTCGCCAGTTGGTTCAGAACCACTCGATTATCTTGCCAAGCGAATATTTGAAAGTGTCGGACCATCAGGTCCCAATAAAGTGAGTAAAGGGTACCAAGCGATTCATCTTCTGAGCAACGCCAGGATTACTTGATGGAATTATCGAAGGCTGTCAGAGAGCTCGCACCAGATAGTCGCGATTCTCACTTGGAACAACTCGAGGTGAGCTTTATCTTGGATGTTCACCGAGTTTACTTAACACGAGTAGATACGTGTTAAAGAGTTGGAGAGGCTTCATACTCAAACGAGCTCTTAATCGCGACAAGAGGGAAGGAAAACGAGCCTAGATTGCTATAGAAGTGTCATGAATACTCTTAAATTGTCTAGTTGGTGGTAACATATTTGCAATGACAAATTCTCCATCTACAGAGCCCTGTTAGCTTTCTCTTACACCGGGGGAGATCACCACATACTGGGAAAGTCATTCGCTTCCGCTCTTTGTATTGCAAGTTCTGTGGTAGATGTGACGCCTGTCTCTACATGACGCTTTACGATCCTTTCCCTCGCATCTTGAATGTCGACTTCCACGAACCATCTCTCGTCAAGCAAATTACCTGCTGTCTTCCATGGTTCGATAGCTAGAAAGACATAAAGTCCTTCAATCATGACAAAGGGTTAGGTCATGCTCCAAATAAGCATGAGCAATCACCTACTTCGCCCTTTGGCTGCCGCCCACACTTGA